GAGGGCTGGTTTGGGAATGTGCTGGCTTGAGAGAGAAATTATGGGGTGGGTGGGGAAGCAGGGCGGGGGCTATGTTTGAGCACCTGGGAAGAGGCTGGGGTGTGGGCAGCTGATGGGGCGTGGGCTCTGATCCTCAAGGCGGGCCCAGGAAGCAGGAGAATGTCATCTCCCCTTTTATACATTGTTTTAATTACCTAGTGCTGCTATAACAGAAATACCATAAATGGGTGGCTTTAACAAATAGTTTATTTTCTCACAGTTTAGGAGGCTAGAAGTCTGAATCCAGTGTGCCAGCTCTAGCACCTTGTCTCTTTGAGCTTCTGCTCCTGGGCCATCTTTATGTGGCTTGACATCTCTCTTTCTCCATCTCTGCTTTGCATAATCTGATCTTTTTAAGACATTAACTCAAAACGCACCCTACACTAATCCTGCCGCATTAACATAACAGAAAACTCATTCCCAAATGGACGTATAACCACAGGCATCAAACCAAAAAATCCAAACTCACTGCTACTGAGTCAGATCCAACTCATAGCGACCCCTCGTTGGGTTTCCAAGGCGGTATCACTATGGAAATAGATTGCCCAACCTTCCTTCCATGGGGTGGCTGATGGGTTTGAACCTCCAGCCTTCTGGTTAGCAGCCAAGTGCCTTAGGCATTACGCTAAGAGGTTAGGATTTATGACATATATTTTTGGGGGACACAATTCAATTCATAATACACACCCTCCCATATATCCCTGCCCCTGCCAGTGGACAGGGATATTCATTCATTCATTCAACCATCGTGCACTGAGCTCCTACTATGCCCTGGACCTTGAGCCAGGTTCTAGCAAACCAGAGTGAATGAGACCTGGGCCTCACCTCCACGGAGCTAATAGTCCAGTGGAGGAGAAAAAAAAAAAAAAAAAAAAACCCAAACCATTTGCTGTCAAGTTAACTCTGACTCATGTCAGAGTACAGCTGTGCTCCATAGGGTTTTCAGAAATAGATTCCGATTTTTCAGAAGTTGATTGCCAGGTCTTTCTTCCAAGGTGTTTTTTTGTGGACTCAAATTTCCAACTTTTGGGTTAGCAGCCACACACATTAACTGTTTGTACCACCCAGGGACCAAGGGGAAGAGAGAGAGAGAGAGAAACAAATAACCATAACACAGGTCCTTGATGCCTAGTTAGGGACAGAAGTCTTTGTTTCCAGGTAGAAGAATCTGAACTGAGTACATGGAGGAGGTGAGATTTGATTTATTTTCAGAAGATGTCTAGAAACCATTCCAGGTACATGTCTATCTCCTTACTTGGGCTGCCCTATACCTAGGAAGGGAGCTCTCTGGTAGCATAGTGCCTAAGGGATTTGACTGCTAACCAGAAGGCTGGTGTTCAAACTCACCAGCCACTCCTTAGAAGGAAGATTGGGCAATCCACTTCCATAGTGATACTGCCTCGGAAACCCAAGGAGGGGTCACTATGAGTCAGATCCGACTCAATGGCAAAACACAACAACATACCTAGGATGTCCTTACCTGTCCCCATCAGTTTCCCCATCTCCATGAGGGCTGGTTAGGGCAGGATTGAGCTCTAATCATTGAACAGTTACTTCCCTTACAGAATCCCCACCCTGGCCATCATTTTGCTAATGCCAGGCCATGAGGGTGATGTTGACAAGTGTGCATGACTTACATCACCAAAGGAGCAGCTCAGGGACAGATCACACAGGGACTGGTACAGCAGCCTCCTGGATTACAGCACAGATGATGAGTTGATGGTTGGCAGCTGGTGATCTCTCAGTAATATTTAAGCAAAACTGTCAAGGAGCATAAGATGTGTTCTGTGGGGACAACAGAAGGTAGAGTGGGGGAAGTTTCAAGAAAAAAGGTTCAGCAGGAGGAAGGACATACTAATCTTTGGGCAGTGAAACAGCTCCCTTCAGAGGTAGCAAGCCAGGACTGTGATAAAGTATTCACCAAGAATTCAAACTGATGGAATTAATCTAGGCAGGAAGTTGTGAGAGATGGTCCCAGAGATTCAGGGATGAAGAGGACAGTGTTCTGACTCACCAACCACTCTTGCCCCTCTGTGATGCAAATGCAGATGTCTCAGAGGGTGGTGGCACTTGGGTTTGGGCTGTGGAAAGGAAAGAGGAAACCCAAGCTAACTCGTCAGGCTTGAGCTGGTTGCCCAGGGTCCAGGAACCCTCATCAGATCCTATCCCACCCCCTTGTAAAAAGCCCTGGGGCAGGCTGCTGAAGTAATTACCACCCCATAACCTCATCCCCTGCTCTTGATTCATCTCCTAAAAAAACAATTACATCTTGTTCTGGCCTGTCCCTGCATAGGTTGTGGCTTGGGAAGGTGCGACATGACTATGGATTAGTGGGTTATGGATTCAATGTGCTCTCAGGCAAGTGGTCACTGTTTGGATCTCAGTTTCTGTGTCAGTAAAATGGAAAGCTGGGCTTCTAAGGGGCCCTTCCAGGTCATCTCTGATTCATAGCAACCTTATTTTGTACAATAGAACAAAATGTTGTTCAGTCCTGCATCATCCTCACAATTGCCAGCATATTCAAATCCATCACTGTGGCTATTGTACAAGCCATTTCACCAAGGATCTCCCATGCCATCATTGGCCCTCTACTTCACCAAACATGATGTCCTTCTCTGGTGATTGACCCGCTTCTGATGACATGTCCAAAACAAGCAAATCAGACAAAGTTTTGTTACAATCCATAGGGTTTTCATTGGACAATTTTTGGAATTAGAATGCCACGTGCCTTTCTTCCTAGTATGTTTTAGTCTGCAAGCTCCACTGAATCCTGTTTACAATGGGTGACCCTGCTGGTCACCCATTTGAAATACTGGTGGCATAGCTTCCAGGATCATAGCAACATGGAAGCTACCTGTCATAGTTCTCTAATGCTGCTATAACAGAAATAACACAAGTGGGTGGCTTTAACAAACAAGAATTTATTCTTTTACAGTTTAGGAAGCTAAAAGTCTGAATTCAGAGTGCTAGGGCCTGGGTGAAGGACCCTTGACCTTGGGCTTCAGCTCTGCCTCTTGTTCCAGGCCCACTGGAGCTGGAGGCTTCTCTTGACTCACACAGCTGCTGGCTGCTAAGGCTGAAGAACCCAAGATTGGCATGTAAAATGGTATAATCCCAAGATCAGCAGGCAACATGGCGGGCCACTGGTTCATGTCTAGGAACTGGAGATGAAGACTTGGCCAAATGCAGGAACCAGAATGAGCTAAAAAGCTAGAAACCTTTTCCAAAGCTCTTCAATATATACTGGAAGGAGGCCACACCCCAAAGGCAACTCCCCTTCAACTCCTTAGCTGCTCACAGCAGATTCCACCATGGAAGTGATTACAATCTCATCATGGAGAATAACTACATCCAGCTATCAAGCCACTCAAAGCCATGGCCCAGCCAAAGGTGATATACAACCTTAACTACCACACTACCATAATATGACAAACTGACAGACAGGTGGTAGCTGCTATTCAACTTGACAATTCCATGTAGAAGGTAAATGGGGGTTCCTGCCTGTGTTTTCCTACTGAACAGATGCCAACCTTCCTTCTGAGGAGTGGCTGGTGGGTTTGAATCACCAGCCTTCTGGTTAGCAGTCAAATGCCTTAGGCACTACACTACCAGAGCTCCTTCCTAAGAACTGCTCATACCAATTTGGTGAGAAAGCTTCAGTTCTACGTTCAATTGTGAGAATGGTAAGTCCAGGGGCAAAGTACCCTGCCAATGTCATTCCAGCTCCTGCCACACAGGGGCACTATTGAATACAGGTCCTACATAGTTGTTGCTCATTATTATGCAGGGGTTGATCATATGCTACCTTCTGAAATGGTTGAACATTGGCCAGCTCTTTTGGGTACAGTAAAATCTCTTTGGTATGCAAGTAAAATTTTGCTGAAGATAATTAAAAAATGATTGCAGCAGTACATCAACAGGGAACAGCCAGAAATTCAAGCCAGATAACAAAGAGGATGTAGAATGAGGAATATCATCACTGACGCCAGGTGTATCTTGGTTGAAAGCAGTGAATACCAGAAAAATGTTTACCTGTGTTTTATTGACTATGCAAAGGCATTCAACTGTGTGAATCCTAATAAATTATGGATAACATTGTAAAGAATGAGAATTCCAGGACACTTAATTGTGCTCATTGCAGAACCTGTACATAGACCAAGAGGCAGTTATTTGAACAGAACAGGGAATACTCTGTGGTTTAATTTCAGGAAAGGTGTGCATCAGAGTTGTATATTTTCACCATACTCACTGTCTGTATGTTAAGTAAATGATCTGACAAGCTAGGCTATATGACAAAGAATGCAACATCAGGATTGGAGGAAGGCTCATTAACAACTGAGATATGCAGATGACACAACCTTGCTTGCTGCAAACAAGAGGACTTGGAGCACTTACTGATGAAGATCAAAGACTACAACCTTCAGTATGAATTACACTTCAACATAAAGAAAGCAAAAATCCTTACAATTAGACTAATGAACAACATGATGGTAAATGGAGAAAATATTGAAGTTGTCCAGAATTTCATTTTACTTGGATTCACAATCAACACTCATGGAAGCAACAGTTAAGAAATCAAATGACTTATTGCTTTGGGAAAATCTGCTGCAAAAAGACCTCTTTAAAGTATCAAGAAGCAAAGATGTTTATTTCAAGGCTAAGGTTTGCCTAACCCAAGCCATGGTATTTTCAGCTGCTTCATATGCATGCAAAAACTGGACAATGAATAAAGAAGACTGAAGAAGAGTTGATGCATTTGAATTCTGGCATTGGTGAAGAATATTGAGTATACCACGGACTGCCAGAAGAACAAACAAATCCATCTTAGCAGAAGTACAGCCAGAATGCTTCTTTTGTCTTACATACTTTGGAAATGTTATCAGGACAGACCGGTCCCTGGAGAAGGACATCATGCTTGGTAAAATAAAGGGTCAACAAAAAAGAGGAAGATACTTAACAAGATGGTAGACAGTGGCTGCCACTATGAGCTCAAATACAGCAACAATTGTGAGGAGATGCAGGACAGGGCAGTATTTCATTCTGTTGTGTATGGGGTTACAATGAATCAGAACCAACTTGACAGCATCTTACAGGAACATAATATGTAGGTGTTGTAGAAGCTTCTAAGCTTGGGACACAAGGTTTCAGCTCTGTAAATTCCTACTCACATGTTCAGTCACCATTTTCAAATCATGAAGCCAGGCTAGGGCTTACTCACTCACTCACTCATTGCCATCAAGTCAGTTCCAACTCCCCCTCCTTGGGTTTCTGAGGCAGCATCTCTATGGAAGTAGATTGCTCAGTCTTCCTTCCAAGGAGTGGCTGGTGGGTTTGAACCACCAGCCTTCTGGTTAGCTTAGGCACTATGCCACCAGAGCTCCTAGCTTTTTTTTCCATGAATGCCAGGTATGGGTATTGAAATGATGGCACCATTCCAGACTTCTCATGAGTGGAGACCTGTTAGAGGCTTTTGCAATCTAGAAAGAGATGTCAGTAGACTGAGAGAGTAGCGATGCAGAGGGAGAGATGTGGGTGGATTGAGGGCAGGTTTTAGAGTTGCCGACATTCTTGATGACAGATTGGATAGGGGATATGAGGGCAAAGAGGAATCAAAGATCCCTAGGTTTGGGTCTGAGCACAAGGATAGATAGGATGCCATTTACTGAAATGAAGAAGACTGGGGGAGGAGCAGGATGGGGTGAAGAAACAAATCAAGAGTTCTTCTCTGGGCATGTTAAGTTGGTTTGCTAAGACCAACAAAAGGAGATTTTAAGTAGATGGTTGAATATATTGTCTGAACTTCAAAGATGAAAACCAGAGTGAAGATGTAAACTTGGGTGATTTTGGCAGCAGAACTCAATCAAAAGCAATTCACTTTATCAAAAAACTTCCAGTAATATTGAACCTCAAAAAACAGGAGCTTTGGGGCCCTTTTCGTTTCCTCATAAGATGCTCCTTGTATAAATTTTCTCACCTATTCCCCACTTTTGTATGCCAAGCAGGGCTTTGAGAAGTCTCCTTTGTCAGGCTAGAAGAGGTCCTACTATTCCCTTTACCCCAGAGCAGTGGGTATCTGGTACCCATAGACTAAGGTAAGTAAAAGAGGCCACTCAAAAGATTTCTTTTTCCAAAATAAAATCTGATCTAAGGTGAGTTACTCTCTCCACCTCTTGATGTAGAAGCTGGTTTAATACCTGAAATTCTGTCTCACTGTGGCTGCTTAAAAAAATCACCCTAAGACACTGGCTTAAAACAGTAACAGTTATTTATTATTTTTACTCATGGGAGCTCTGGTGGTGTAGGGCGTAAGGCATTTGACTGGTCACCACAAGGCTGGTGGTTCAAACCCACCAGCCACTCCTAGGAAAGAAGATTGGACAATCTACTTCCTCAGAGATACTGCCTTGGAAACTGAAGAAGTTACTATGAGTCAAATTGACTTGACAGCCTTGAGTTTAATTATTTTTTTTTCATGGTTCTGAGGATGAACTTGGCATGGTTAGGCAGCTCCTGCTCAGGGAATCCTCATAGATGCTGTCAGACTATAGCCAACATAGAGTCATCACAAAGCCTTCTTCTCTCACATGTCTGGCTCATGAGAAAACTCAAAACGCTGGGGGCTCTCATGCATCTCTGCAGAGTCCTTCTTTGTGGCCTCTCCAGTTTGGTGCTTTCCATGATGGACTTCTTATATGTAGCAGCTCAAGACTCCAAAGGTGCTTTTCCTGAGAGAAAAATAGCCAAGCAGAAGCTGCATCTTTTTTATATCTTAGCATTAGTAGCCATATAACATTCACATTCTGCCATATGTATTAGTCAAAGCTGATTCAAACTTCTGCCCAGAATCAAGGGGAGGAAGAAAGACTCCACCCCACAGTGTGTGTTGGGGGCAGGGGCAGTTACATTGTAAGAGGAGCATGTGGGATGCAATCTAGCTCTGCCTATGCCTATATCTATGTGGCGTAGTGTCTAAGGCATTTGTCTGCTAACCAGAAGGCTGGTGGTTCAAATCCACCAACTGCTCCTTGGAAGGAAGACTAGGTAATCTACTTCTGTAGAGATACTGCCTTGGAAACCCAAGGAGGGGTCGCTACGAGTCGGGGCCGACTTGACGGCAGTGAGTTTGGTTTTTTAGTTTTGGTATGTTTATGTCTGTATCTATACCTATTCTGTATCTACATCTATCTATCCATCTATCTAATCTATGTTTATATCTGTATCTATGTCTGTATCTGGCTGGCTGGCTCTATCTATAAATCTGTATCTATCTATTAAGGAACTCTGGTGGCACAGTGCCTAAGGCATTTGCCTGCCAATGAAAGGTTGGTGGTTTAAACCTACCAGCCACTCTGCAGAAGGAAAACAGGGCAATCTACTTCTGTAAAGGTTTATTGACTCGGAAACCCAAAGGTGGTCACCATGAGTTGGAATCGACTCAATGGCAGTGGGTTTGGTTTGGGATTGGTTATCTATCTATAAGTTTCAAAACCACAATGCACCACATTCACCATGTAACAGAAAAATCAAAAACCAAACCCACTGCCATGGAGTCAATTCTGACTCATAGCAACCCCCATTGGGTTTTGAAGACTATAAATCTTTACAGAAGTAGATTGCCTCATCTTCCTCCTACAGAGTAGCTGGTGGGTTTGAACCACCAGCCTTCTGATTAGCAGCCAAATGCCTTACCCAGTATGCCACTAGAGCACCTTCATATAACAGGAGAAGGAAAAAATGGAGATGTGATGAGAACCTATGTGCCAGGTGCTGTTCATAGATCATCTTATTCAATCTTGTTACTAAAGCTGAGAGAGCCATTATCATACTCATTTTATGAGTGATAGGGTCATGTCATGAGTGGCAGATTTAGGATTCTGACCTAGGTCTGAGTGACTTCATGATTTGTTTTTTGCTACTCTGGAAGCCAGGGATGGAGAAATAAGAGGAGTGTTTGGGGAGAAGGAGATGACCAACAACAGACTGAAAACTGAGGCAAGCCTTGTGGCAGGGATGTCAAGAACCAGGCTGAAGAGCTGAGTCTTCTTGACTCAAAGTGTCAAGAAAGCCAACCCTATTCCCCAAGGGGTAGTGTGGCTGTGTCTCCCCTCTCAACAATGAACTGCAGTTGGTCAATCAACATTAGATGGTAGTAAAGGATGACCCTGGGACTAGTTCCATTCTAACTATGAACAAGGGATGGGAAGAGTAGTTACAGGGCCCTGCTCAGAGCTCCCAGGCTGTGAGGAGGACAGGATAAGCAGGAAAAAAGGATAGAAACATAAGATATCAGGGAGTGGCTTCCACCTACTTCAAAGAGATGGAAGAAATTTACATTTGTTGAATGCCTATTTTGTGCCAACCACCACACCATTGGAGTTCACATAGGGGCAGCCTTCTTGCTGCCAATATTCCCATGAGGTTGGTACTATCATTAGCTCCGACATTTAGATTAGGACACTAATTCTCAGAGAGATTAAATGACTTACCCAAGGTCACGTGAGAGCATAGCTGAACTCGAATTAAGGCTCTGGTTTGTTTGGCTCCAAAGCCTGTGTTTTCTCCATTCCATACCTCTGACTACCCAAAGATTGACCATTGCTGGTCTCAGGCCATGATCATCAAGAAAGCAGAAGAGCATAGATTCCTGGTACCCCCATTACTAGCTGTGTGATCTTGGTCAAGTTACTTAACCGCTCTGCACCTCAGATTCCTTATCTATAAAATGAGAATAATAATAGTATTTACCGCATGAGATGGTTTTGAAGATTAAATGAGTCTATAAAAACAAAGCAGTACCGAGAACAGTGTCTAACTCACAATAAGTACTACATGTGTTAACTATTCATCTTATTATTATTATCATAGCGTTGGAGGGGGATGGCTTTCACACCAGCTGGGACAGGCTTACCCAGCCTCTGAGTAAAGGTTGGCAGATTGGAAACAACTGAGTGTTACTATTGGAGATGGGTCCTATAAACTTATCCAAATCACCAGTTTCATGCTGAGAAGTCTAGCAGGTATGAATTGACAACCACAAATTTGGATGTGAAAAATATGTCAGTTACAGATGCTACTTAAATCAATTAAATCTAAGTTTGAGTCATGATCCCAGTGGGCTTTTAGATAATTTCATCTCGGTTATTGGAGCTCCCTCCATGTTTCGGTTATCCATTGCCATGTAACAACCACCCCAACACTTAGTGGTCTAAAACAATGTCATTCTCATTAAAAAAAAAAAAAAAAGACAAGGCTTACTGGTCTGATAAAGCCTGGTGAAACCGCTAAGATTATCGCCCTTAGTCACCCTTCAGGCCTGGAATTGAACTCACTCCCATGGCTTCCAGCCAAACAATAGACAGACATATAGGGTGAACATTTACATTAGGTAGGTAACATTCCTTAGAAAGATCAATCGTGGGAGAACAGAAGGGCAGTATTTGCACAGAGGGATAGTTCAGGGGGCAGGAATGCATAGGAAAGAAGGACACAGGGAAGAGATAACTACAGGGAGGAAGTGGGAAGAGAGTTGTTATGTTGTGGGGATTGTAGTCAATGTCATGAAACAAAATGTGTATGAATTGCTGTATGGAAAATGAATTTGCTCTGCAAACCAAATCACAATAAATATTAAAAAAAAAAAAAAGCCATTCTTTTGCTCTGGAACCTACTATTTGGGCAGGGTCGGCAGAGATACCTCCTCATCTCCACTCCAAATAGCACTGAACTTCTGTTAAGGGTGATCGAAAAACTGGGAAACGGATAATGATGATGGTTGCATAACATGATGAAAGTAATTTATTTTATTTAAAAGAGAGAGAGAATAGTCAGGGAACCTCACTGCAAAGATGACCTGAGGGAGGTGAGGGAGCGAGATATGCAGGCCTCTGACAGGAACGGGTATAGCACAAGATAAGGCCCTGAAAAGGGGGCGTGAGTGGCAGGGTCAAGGAACAGCAAAGCAGCCACTGTGGCTCAAGAGAAGTGAAAGAGAGACCTGTGCAGACCTCTCCACCCTCATCACTTCCCCCACACTTCAGCTTTCTCTCAAATTTTCGAAGTCATCAGGCTCCCCCTTACCTCTTCTGCCATGGTTCTTCCTAGAGGCCAGGCCACACCAGCCTGTGTTTCATGCTCCTAAGGCTTCCAAGGCCACACCCTTGTGGAACTTCCCAAAGCTTGTGCTTAAAACATTTGACATTATCTGCTTAATGCCTATGTCCTTCACTGGGCAGCCAGCTGCCTGAGCACAGAGCTGGAATCTATATCTTGGATCCCTATGTCTGTCACACCTAGCACAATGCCTGACACAGACTCAGGCTCAGTAAATGTTTAATGACTGAACCCCAAGTAGATTGAGAGGGATGCTTGGGTTGAGGTCAGACATGCCACCCACCTGTCTAATTTGAGACTCAGCCTCCATGCCACCTTCTCAAGAAAGCCTCCTCATCGCTCCTCAGAATGGATCAGGTTCTTTCAGCACAGCATACTTTTCCTTGATAACATGTATGTAAATGATAATTGGTTATCTGTGGACCCATCTATTTAGCATCTGTCACACCTGCTAGTCTGGAATATAATAGCTCTGGTGTTCCAGGAGCTCTAGATGACAGTTATCTTCATAATCACCCCACAAAGTATTTTTTTTTTTTTAGTTTTTAATTTTTATTGTGATTTCAGTGAAAATTTACTGAGCAAATTCATTTTCCGTACAGAAGTTCATACACATTTAGTTTCGTGACATTGACTGTAATTCCCCACAATGTAACAGCTCTCTTCCCACTTCCTCCCTCTAGTTACCTCTCCCCTGTGTCCTTCCCTCTCATGCACTCCCACCCCCGAGCTGTCTTCCTTTGTAAACACTGCCCTTCTGTTCTTCCATAATTGATCGCTCCAAGTAGTATATCTACCTGATGTAAATATTTACCCCATATGCCTGTCCATTGTTTGGCTGGAAGCCACAGGAGTGAGTTCAATTCTAGACCCGAAGGGGCCATAGTCTCAGAGGTCTCATCAGGCTCTATCAGACCAGCAAACTTGGTCTTTTCCTACAAAGTATTTTTATTCCCATTTTATACAGAAGGAAATTGAGATTCAGAGAGGTCAAGTAGAAGGTAGTTTAGTCATTAGATGGCTGAATCAGGATTGGATCCCAGAGGTTGGCCTGTGACCATTGCTCCACATGGACTCACCATGCTGTCTAGAGGACAGGCCCACATCTGTCCTGTTCACCAATAGACCACCGGCACTTGTCACCAGCCTGGCATTGGGAACCTATGTGATAATTACTGGCAGAATGAGCAAGTGACTGGCTGACTAAAGCAAATAAGATGCCAAGTCAGGTGATGGTTGAGAGGCATTTTAAAGGGCTTGGTCTCATCTCTCTGTCCTCTTCCTGCCCAGGGGTCAGAGTCACTAAGGTGGACTGGCAGCAGAAGAGGAATGGCACTACCCACCATACCCAGGATTTCCCCAGCCCCAATTTGGTGGTCCGCAGGGGCCAGATGTTCACCATCATAATGAATTTCAGCAGAGCCCTTGAGAGCCAGGAGGCCCTGATCTTCACGGTGGAGACAGGTAAGTGGGCCTCACAGCACACCCTTCTAGCCTCAACTTGGAGAGGTTTATCCTGTGACCCAAGACCCTTCATCACTGGTCTGGCATGGACATTGGGGAAAGCAAAGTAGGTGTGTTGGGCCTCAAATCCTACAGGCTTTTGATGATAGCTTCCAGGGGATGGATGAAATGAAGTCTCTGGTATCCCATGAACCCAGGGAATCTAGGGCTCTGTAACGGCGTGGAAAATCATTGGGCACTTTGGGACTCCAAGTTGTCTTTCCTTTCCTGGCTAGCCATAAGCCAGAACTTTGGTTTCATAGGATCTTCTCACTTTCTCCTTGGTCCAAGAAGGGCTGAAAGTCAGAAAAATGGGGTGTATCCTTCTCAGCCACTGAGCTTGCATACTTTGGTCGAGTCCTTTTCCCTACAGTCTCCATCAGTTCAGGTCTGCAGCTTTCGTGCCTCTCTAGAGCTAGGTTTCCCGGGGATGGCTGGGTTTCCTGATTTCTTTTCCTCTCCACCAGGACCCCAGGCTACTGAGGCCCTCCATACCAAAGCTGTGTTCCAGGCATCGGAGTCAGAGGCAGGCACTGCCTGGAGAGCAGTCCAGGAGGTTCAGACTGAGAACAGCCTGACCATCAACCTCACCAGCCCTCCCAATGCCGTCATTGGCCGCTACTGGCTGAGCGCCAGGGTCTCCTCCCGCCGCAAACAGAGTAACAGGAAGTTGGGCAACTTTGTTCTCCTTTTCAACCCATGGTGCCCAGGTAGGGGCTGCTGGCCTGAGGCAGAGATGTTCCCGGAAGCTGTTTACAGAGGCAGGCCTACCTGTGTGGGAGGCTAAAGGGGACCAAGAGGCAGGTTAAGGGGCAGGGAGGTAAATGCAAAGAGCTAGGCCAGGGCCTGCCCTAAACTGTGGTGAGCACTGGGCAGGGGAGCCTGGCAGCAGGTGCTACAAAGGAGCCATACTGGTGCGGGGAGGCATACTCAAATCTGTTGTACAGAGGCCAATGTGCAGTGAGGGGTGCCAGATGGCCACGAGAGGCCCAGGAGTGGGTAAGATCCTGGGTTTTAGAATCAGAAACTCCTTGATTTAGTCACAGCTCTAAGTTACTTTTCTTTCTGAGTCTCAGTTTGCTTATCTGCAATATGACAATAATAACAGTGCCTGTCTCGTAGGATTATGGTGAAAAGTCAGAGCTTATGCCTGTAAAGTTCAAGGTACACTCTAAATCTTTAGTAAAGAGTAAACTCAAAAACCAAACTCACTGCCATCGACTAGATTCTGACTCATAGTGACCCCCATTGGGTCCAAGGCTATAAATCTTTACAGAAGTACATCACCCCATCTTGCAGAGCAACTGGTGGGTTTGAACTGCTAACCTTCTGATTAGCCTTATCCATTACTCCACCAGAGCTCCATTAGTAAAAGATAGCTGGGATCTTATTATTAATAGGGTATCTTCATATTGATACTTAAGAAATACAAGGCTGCCGTTGACATCATAAAGGGTCACCCAAAGGTGTCAGAATTCCTAACATTTTTCTATCTTGGGCTGGGTTGGGGTTGGTCCCTGCCTGGGGAGAAAATACACCATGGGAAGGGGCTTGGCAAGGGGTGTCCCCTCCTGCCCTGACAGCTTCCAGGCACTGTCCTGCTGCTGACCCTGATGCAGCCCCTTCCTCAGGCCACCAGGGCCAGAGCCCCAGCCCATGCGGGGTCTGATGACTGCTTTTCAGAGGACGACGTGTTTCTGGCCTCAGAGGAGGAACGACAGGAGTACGTGCTCAATGACAGTGGGGTCATCTTCCGAGGCGTGGAGAAGAGCATCCGAGCCCAAGGCTGGAACTACGGGCAGGTCTTCAGGGGCACAGGCCAGATGGGGCATGGGCTGGGCCATGAAGTCAGCCTAGGAACCCACTTTCTGCTCACTTATCCCCCAAACAAGGACAAGCTGGGGTGACTCCTAGTGCAAATCTATTCATTCATCTCCTAATTGTGCCAGGGCCAATGCTGGGTCCTTGGGAGGAGAGGCATTTTGGATATAGTTTGGAATCAGAATAAGTCAGTTCTGTTGAGGACGGGTGAAAGCTTAGATGAGAGGGTCTCAAACCTTAGAAGGCAACAGAATCGTCTGAAAGGCTCATTAACACGGATTGCTGGACCTCACCCAGAGTTGCTGATTCAATAGGTCTTAGGTACTCAAAGCCAAACCAAACTCACTGCCACTGCGTTGGATCTGACTCATAGTGACTCCTCCTTGGGTTTCTGAGGCAATATCACTACAGAAATAGATCGCCCAACCTTCCTTCCGAGGAGGAAGGTTGGTGAGTTTGAACTGCCAGCCTTCTGGTTAGCAGTCAAATGCCTTAGACACTGCACCACCAGAGGTCCCAAGAATTTGCATTAGTAACAAGCTCCTAGGTGAAGCTGATGCTGCTGATCTGGGAGTCCACGTTGAGAAGCACAGTTCAAGATGTGATGGGGAAGGAAAGTGAGAATGGTAGAGATGGGAGTAAAGGGAGTTAAGAGGAAGATGCAAGAGAATTCCAGCCTGGGACCGAGGACAGCTTCATGGTAATCCATGGAGTCAGGTCTCCATAGTTGGGAAGAATCTGCACAGTCAGAGGGAAGAGTGTGAAGGAGGGAAGTGTGGGAGCCATCTGAGGGTCTGCCAAAAGGGTTCTGTCTGCCTGAGCCCAGGTGCCCAACAGAGGAAAAAGAGGAACCTCAAACAAACATTAGGCTGAGCAGTGTAAGTACGCCTTGAAGGCCAGGCATTGAGTACCTAGGACTCAGGGCCTGAGCAGGGAAACTATGCTACAGAGTTTAGGGTCCACCTTAGGGGTAACCACTACTTAGTGCCCACTGGTTCCTGGACCTCCCAAAGTTTCAGAGACCACAAATCTTCAGTTTTATGTAAAAATCCCCCAGTTTATTGTTATTTTATCTTTAACTAATTCAAATCTATTTGAATTATGGCTAAGGTTGAGCTTCTGGTCCCCAGGTGACTCTGAGAATGGGTTTCTGAGATTGCTGGTGCTCTGTGATGTCCCTGGGGGTGAGGTTAGGGTAAATCCTCCAATCTGATGCAAGTGACTAGGTGAGGGTTGTGGAAGGGTTTGGGATATGGGTGAGGCACTGGCCTCTAAGCACAGCCTTTCTGGGAAGCAGTTTGAGGAAAACATCCTGAACATCTGCCTCTCCATCCTGGACCGAAGCCCCAGTCACCAAGACAACCCAGCCACCGATGTGTCCCATCGTCATGACCCCATCTACATCACCAGGATCATCAGTGCCATGGTGAGGTGCCCCCTGCTATACATATAATTTCTCAGGCACCCCCATTTTGATGCTCTATTGCTATGTAGCAAACCATTCAAAAATTCAGTGGCATGAAACAACTATTTGTTAAGCTTACAATTTTGTAAATCAGGAACTTGAACAGGGCATTGTGAGGATGGCTTATATCTGCTCCAAGTTGTTTTGGCTGGATGGCTTGAATGATTGCAGATGCCTGGGATGAGTTGATTAAGACTATATATCTGGGGCCTTGGTGTCTGGCTCTTGACATTTCCTTGGTTCTCTTCCACATCATGTCTGCTGGAGCTGGGATATCAGGATTATTCTCATGTCTGAACCTGGGCTAAGATGCCTGGAGCTGGCCAGGCATAGCTCTTTCTCTTCATACAGCTTCTCCATATGGTTAGCGTAGGCTTCCTCACAGCATGGTCTCAGGGTAATTAGACTTCTTACATGGTAGCTGAAGCTATTATGTGATTGTTCCAAGAGAGAGGAAGTGGGCTCAAGTTCATAAGGTCCGGGCTTAGAAACTGGCACCATCGCTTCCACCATAACCATTGGTCAAAGCAGCTACAACCAAGCCCAGATTCAAGAGGAGGAGATAGAGACTCACTTCTCCATGGGAGAAGTGCCATCTTTAACCTATCATATCCCTCAGGCTACCATGCTTCCTCCTTGAAAGGGAGCCAGAGAGCCTGCTAGTTATCTCCATCACAGACAAGTGTCAAGGTCAAGGATGAGTATCTAAGACTCCAAAAATGGACAAAGCTCATATTTGGGAATCTCAATTCCTCAAGATCTCACAGAAATGTTAGAGCAGAGATCATCAAAAGCAGTGACCAATCCAAAGAGTAAAACATTACAGCCCTGTGGACAACAGCACAGACTCTCCAGTCAAAGTCCTGAATTCATGGGTCACCTTTTTCTTCACTTGCTGTGTGATTTTGGGCAAGTCCTTTAACCCTCTGTGTCTGAGTTTTCTCACTTGGAAAAAAAAAAAAAAAGGAAAAAGGAAGACCAATAGAACTTACATCATAGACTTAAACAGGTTGATGTATTGTACATGAAGTCCTTAGGCTAGTACTGGCACTTAATAAACATTTAATAAAAGTTAGTTGTCTCTAGAATTATACTAGCAACAGTCTCAACAAATAGATCATTTAAATTGGGAAATGCTAACATTGTACAACAGAGGACCCAAATAGAAGATAATTGAAAAAGATAAATGATGCCAAAAAGTGGATATTTTAAGGCAGCAGATGTTCCCAATTTCAGGCAATTTAAAAATAAGTGGTAGGCCCAAACCACTAGGTGGTCCAAAGTTGGAGATGATTTCACAGTGATAAAGTTTCTGGAGGGGAAGTCAGGCGGTGACCCCAAGGGAGCCCTTCCGAGTTGTGATCTGTGCCCTCCTCTCCCAGGTGAACAGCAACAATGACAGAGGTGTGGTGCAAGGCCTGTGGCAGAGCAAGTATGGTGGTGGCACCAGCCCGCTGCACTGGCAAGGCAGTGTGGCCATTCTGCAGAAGTGGTTCAAGGGCAGGTACAAGCCAGTCAAATACGGCCAGTGCTGGGTCTTCGCTGGAGTCATGTGCACAGGTACCCTGGAAAGAAGATCCCGTACCCCCACAGAAACTTCCCCCTTGTTTGCACTGTATTTGCATATATTTGCATAGATCAAATATCCATTTTTATTTATCTGTGATTGAGAAATGGAAATCTGGTTGATGATGAGATAAATCAGATAGTTCATTGACACTATTTTTGGTCTTTTATTTTGGAGTCCCACCTCCCTCTGCCTGTACTTCACTGTGTGCCCTTGGGTGAGTCCTGTGGACCTGGACCCTTAGGCCTTAGATTCTCCTCTGGAAAATGAGCAGGTTCTAGTCTATGACCTCCATAGTCCACCAGCCACAGTCTGTCTATGCTAACAGGAGTGACAGTAGTGTTTCCAGAAGACCTCTGAGAAGGTGCACAGAAGAGAACAGACAGGAGGCTCAGCCTGATCAAAACAGACAGACCAACAGAGACAAGGAGGGACTTGGGCCTGAAATGAAGCATTGCCTGCTGGGGGAAGCCCCTCTCCCTGAGCCTGGTGCCCTATCCTGCTCCTGGAGCCTCCCTGGCCTCTTGCCCTTCAGTCCTTAGGTGCCTGGGGATCGCCACGCGGGTTGTGTCCAACTTCAACTCAGCCCACGACACAGACAGGAACCTGAGTGTGGACAAATACGTGGACTCCTTTGGGCGGAGCCTGGAGGACTTGACGGAGGACAGCATGTGGTGGGTTGGGGGGCTGGGCTGGGGCTCCCTGAGGCCCAGCAGTTGTGTCAGGGCCTCATCTTCTATCGCAGTCAGGGAGGGGCAGACCCAGATCTAGAAGCGCACTCTGTTGAGTATGATGACCCAGTCTGCCCTCTGGAGTGGAGGGGGTCCCAAGAGGCAGGACCCCTCTTCTGAAGTATAGAGGGAGTCTTGGGACACAATACTCAGGGGTCAGGAGAGGCCCTGGGAGTCAATAGCCTTGAATCCTCAATTCTGTACACTGCACTCCATGGGGATCTGCACTCTCCCCAAGATTCCTGTACCTTCCTGGGGTTTTCCCTACACCCCTTTCTCAGGCTCCTGTTCCCACATCCTCTGCCTGGGCTCCATGCTATGCTCCCTGGGTGGGAAACAACCTCCTCCCTCAATTAAAACAAACCAAACTCTTCACAAAGAGATTTTAAAAACTAATTTTAATTGAATTTTTCAAAACAGGAAATATATTCATGTGGGTTGATAATCAAAAGGTGCAAAATGGGTTACAGTGAAAAGTCTCTTTCCCACCCAGTTCCCCAGGCACCCTATCCTCCTCCCCAGAGACAAAGCATGACTAATGTTTCACATACCCTTTCAGAGAGAGGCTCTGTAGATATATGCATATTATCCACAATCCCCTCCCCACTTTTCTCAGGCAGCATAATGTCAATCTGTTCTTGCTTGTACATTTAACAATTCCATATCACTATGTAAAGTTTCCTTATTTTGCATAGTGTTTAAAGTATTAATAATAACACCATGCACAAGGAGCACCTAGCCTGCCAGACCCAGTGCTAAGTGCTGCTCATATATTAACTCTTACAACAACCTTGTAGCCAAGTTAGTGTATTATCTTTTTTGGCAGACGACAGAACTGAGACACAGAGAGATTAAGTAGCTTGTCTAAGGTCACACAGCTAGTGAGTGGAAGAGCAGGGTGTGTCTCTCAGTTGTACAGAAAAAGCTTTCTTTTTTAAAAAAAAATCATCCCATATGGATGGACATTTGGGGTGCTTCTAAAAGTTTGCTTTTACCAGAAAGGCTTCAGTGAATAACCTTGTCCATATGAATATTCAGACACAGGCAAGTCTGCCACACAAGTATTTTTTCAGTAGGATCAACTTCATAGAGATTAGAATAGATGATGGACAATATACACTGCAGACATACAGACAGCCTCAGCATCCCTGCTATTGGAGTATCCTTCAGCCAATCCCAGGGGAGCAGTCCCAGGCATCTTTTTCTCAACTGGTGTCCAGCCTCATACCATGTCCCTGCTCCTCTCTTGCTCCTCCTCCTTCTCTTCGCCTTGGCGCCCATCACTCCCTCTCCCTGCAGGAACACCCCCCCCCTCCAAAAACACATTCTTCTCCTTTCTTCATGCAGAACAGATACAAAAAAAAAAAAAAAAAAAAAACGAAACTCACTGCCATCAAGTCGATCCGACTCATAGCAACCCCTCTTTGGGTTTCCGAGGTGGTATCTCTATGGAAGTAGATTGCCCACCCTTCCTTCCAAGGAGTGGCTGGTGGGTTTGAACTGCCAGCCTTCTGGTTAGCAGTGAAATGCCCTAGGCACTATACCACCAGAGCTCCCACAGAACAGATAGACATTTCTTTTTGATGGATTGCCAGTGGCCTCCCATTTTCCCAAAGACAGTTAGTTCCTTCCTTAAAAGAAATTCTGTGGCTAACTGTAAAGGTGCAAAGTCAGGCTTCTCTCTGCTGTTTCCTTGCTGTGTGACCTTGTGCAAGTGGTGGTATTTTCCCTAGTCTCATATTATCACTTTCAACACCGAAATTTTAAAATAAATCCTGAACTCCTTACCAAGACCTACAGAGATGCATAATCTGAAGCCTATCTATCCTGTGTGCTTGTCCCACTGCAGGGAGACCTACATACTTTCTGTTCCTTGAACACTCTAAGTTTTTCTGGTCTCAGGACCTTTGCACATGCTGTTCCTTCTGCCCAGAACACTGTTCCCTTTACACTGTCTATGGCTACCTTTTTGTTATTCAGGTCTCACCTTAGATGTCATTTACCTAGAATAAGTCCCCACCAGCCACTCCTCGGAAGGAAGGTTGGGCAATCCTACTTCCGTAGTGATACTGCCTCGGAAACCCAAGGAGGGGTCGCTATGAGTCAGGGCTGACTCGACGGCACATAACAACAACAACAACAACAAGTTATTCTTTGCCTCGAGCTCTTCCCTTTCTCCACAGCATTTATTGTTACTTGCATTTATGTTGTTTATCTGCTTACTTAATTTTGTCTGTCTCCCCATCTGTCTCCTTTGTTAGAATATAAGCTATATGAGGGCAAGGATCTTCTCTCTAATTCACAGTTGTATTTCTGGCAGCTTGAACAAGTCCTTGGCATCTATCTGATATGTGCTCATAAATGCGTTTGAGTGGGTGATTCACAAGAATCAGTCTTGCCCTCCGACACAGCACCAGGCCCAGGGCTGGGCTCATGGTGGGAGCTCCTTCTCCTTTCGGCTTTTGTGCTTACCCTAGGACACTTCACCCTATCCTCTCTCTATGGCAGGAATTTCCACGTCTGGAATGAGAGCTGGTTTGCCCGGCAGGATCTGGGTCCCTCGTACAATGGCTGGCAGGTTCTAGATGCCACCCCCCAGGAGGAGAGTGAAGGTACGTACAGGCTCAGTGGGCAGGTTCCCGGATCCCTGGTCTTCCCCATACACACTGCCAATGCCCACCTCTCCTGCCCAGGCATGTTCCGGTGTGGCCCAGCCTCAGTCACCGCCATCCGTGAGGGTGATGTGCACCTGGCCCATGATGGCCCATTTGTGTTTGCGGAGGTCAATGCAGACTACATCACCTGGCTCTGGCATGAGAACGAGAGCCGGGAGCGAGTGTACTCAGACACAAAGAAGATTGGGAGGTGCATCAGCACCAAGGCTGTGGGCAGCAACTCACGCATGGACATCACAGGCCTCTACAAGTATCCAGAAGGTGAGGGCAACATGGCGGCCTCTGTCAGCCTCCCCAATACAGCATGTCTGCTCAGAGGGGCAATGACCTGCCACCAGGGGCCAGACCCATTCACGAATATTGTGATGGTGATAGCAGCTTCTATTCAACATTGTATTTTGTCAAAGAGTAAAGCAGCATACACTGTCAAAGTAAAAGCTAAGAGGTTTATAGTTGGATCAAGACAATTCAAACCAGGGAAATGCAGAGTCCACACAGGAAACTGAGCTCTCCAAAGTCGTGCAGCCTAACAGGTACATTTATATGGTAAAGTCGGGAACTTAACAACACATGCAAAAATTCTAATTGGAGAGCTGACAATTACAGAAGTTAAAGGCAAGTTTTACTAAAGTTGGAGTTTACAAGTGATAGGTCAACAAGGTTTGGGTGGGTGTCTAGTATTGGCCACAGAGCTTAATTGCAGAAATGTGTGACCATATGGCAGGTCAATGAGTTAGTTGCAAGACAATTACAGGACATTCTTTTCTGGGAACATATTGTAAAAATTACTTTCCCAAGCAACACATTTCCTGGGGTTATCTTAGCAAGAGATTTCTGATAACTACTTGCATCAAGACCCCTGAGAATATGCTGCAACATCTTTTTCTGGTTTGACCAGAAAAACATTTCCTTAGATACATGCTTAAGTCTGTACAAAGGTTAATGGTTAAAAGGTTTTAGCAGAAGAACAAAGACTTACATAAAAATGGCGTTTGTGCTCAGACCCAGGCCAACCATCCCTGCTACATCAAATGCCTCAATTTTAGGGTTCTCTCACACTTTATGCTTTGGGCCAAGTGCCTTGATTTAGATTATATTAATAGTTTCCTTAAGGAGCTCTGGTGGTGTAGTGGGTAAGGCATTTGGCTGCTAACCAAAGGTTAGTGGTTCAAACCCACCAACTGCTCCACAGAAGGAAGATGA